ACCTAGAAACCTATGACATAAAGTTACAATACCTGACAATATTCTTATCTAAGACTGACTGGGCGTATTGTGACTGAATAGCTTGGATGTCAGCTTGACTTGGTCTTGGTATTGAACTCATGATTTTCTCTATTTGGTTAAATGATGATGTGCCAGCAAATAACGGTCTTCCCAGTAACATTTCACCCATAATACACCCTACACTCCACATATCAACACCCTTTGTGTATCTGGGAAATAAAAAATATTCAAATTAATTAAAAATAATAATTAAAATTAATAGTTAAATTACACTGTTTTTGCTCATGAACAGAAGAAAAAAATTGTTGATTTTTTTCAAAAGAGCAACAATGAGTATAACGCAAATTGAAGCAAGAATATGTTGTTGTTTCCATAGAAACCGGCTACAGGATATAGTTTCATTTTATAGTTTAACCAATTTTCACATAAAATATCTGCGAATAAGTTTTTCTTTGGTCTGGCTTTATAAGGCTATTTTTTGTTCAATCATAAAAAGCTTTGATTTGGTCAAATTTTAATATCAAAATAAGCCCCTCACTGGATGTAAACCCACCCCTTTTTTTTTACTGGGTGGCAACAACGAGTTTAATCTTTTTAAACTCAAAAATAGAAAGAAATAAGTTGATTATTAAAATCTGCATGTAAGAAGTGTGATTTATTGCATGAAATTTTAAATTGGTATGGTAGCTCTATTTTTTGAGTGTATGGTGGCCCTAAAAAGGGTCATTTGGTTTGTGTTTTTAAGAGGGAAAACTTGCATAAATTTCACAGTATATGATCAACACAAATGATTCACATCGTTTTTGTTCTTTAACATTGTAGTAATTCACTTTCGTATCGTGTTAAAAAAATGTCATCATCAATATTAGGAAATTCCTACTGAATTGAGTGGAGACAGCATTCTGATTGGTTAATACCAGACTTGACATGTGAGGTCAGAGAATGTTGTCTCAGGTCAAATCATGTAGAAAAAAATATCAAGGCAGAAATTGTTTTGCATCATAAACATTTAACAACAAAGATAATGATGGAGACCTTGTTTTTAAACCGTATTCCCACAGACCCTAATAATTTTTACAGCACACATACTGATGTATGTATGTACATAAATAATATTGTAATATTATGTGCATATTTCTGTGAACATTTTTCTTCTTCAATGTAAAAGTGTTGTCACAACAAATGATAATGCAACTTATTTTGCAATTATATTATCCCCAAAGAAAAAAATAATAATCCCCTATCTGCCACATGGTGAAAAAAATTTAGATAATTTTGGGGGGGGGGGGGGTGACTTGGTTACAATGCTGAACTAAAAATTCTTCCCACTCTCTATTTCCCCTGATTTTAAATGTTGAGGTTCCTGAATATATGACAGGGGAACTACAGTAAGAGCAGAACCATGACACGTATACATGTACACTGGTTGTTCTGACACAAAAACATAATTTTTAATAAATTGGTTATTTTAATGTTTTATACAATTGAACAGTAATCAATTAATGAGATATTCTTGATTAATTTACAGTGTTAATGTTGAAATTAAAATATTTAAATATTTGTCACTTTCCACCTAATAAAAAGCCAAAAGAAAATTAGCCTGACAAAGTCTTGTGAGTTGCGCCCTCTGTGGTGTTCTAAACTCAATACACACCTGACCGATCAAATTGCATGAACGTCAAATAGTGACAGCCATCAATGAGTTTATTTCCGCCCAATGTTTATCATCTCGATAAAAACAGATTTTTGCCGACAATGCAAACACAGCTTTGATTGATGAGGTTACCATGACCACCAAAATTAATATTCATTGTAACTCATTGCAAGAAGGCGAGAATATTCGCAGTATTGATCTTGCCGACGAGACATACACTAATCTGTTAGGCGCTAGTGAGGTTTGATGCCGTTCGGCCGGCGAGGGCGCCACTCACGCCTACATGTCAGGCCAATAGAAAATATGTCCATTTGACCCAAAATTAACATATATATATTATATAAAACATGAAAATGTGCATAATGTTGCATCCAAATGCTAGAAGGAAAAAGTTTCCTATTGCCATAGCATTTTAACAGAAATGCATCTCAAGTAGTACTGTAAAATCTGTATTAGAAGCCGCATCCCTAATAGAAGTCGCACCCATTATTTTTGAATAACTGAGAATCAAAAATTCATCATTTCTCACATGTGTAGATGCTCTAATAGAAGCCGCATCTCCTCTGTTGCATTGTACCATTTTAATAGAAGTCGCAGCTTCTAATAAAGATTTTACAGTTAAGTGTGCTGAAAAAAAAAAATTACAGGAAACAATTCTACATACTTTTTTGATGCTAACAATATTTCTGGTGATCGATACCACCTGGTAGCTACATAATCTGTCATTTCTGGGTTAGCTGAGGTGTCCATATCATCAAGCTGATGTAACGATCTAGCGAGACCAAAGTCGGCAACTTTCACAAAACACTCAGCATCAAGAAGAATATTGGATGGCTGAAATAGAATAAAAGATAAATACTATTAGAAATACTGTAACTCTGCATAAATGTACATTGCTCAACAATCCCTAACGATAGATCAGTTGTATATTCACCACATGAATGCAAAAAGGA